AATACTTTCATTTTTGCTCAAAAAAGGACAATGAATAGAGTGGGGAAAACAGCTGGCCTGTGAACAATTTTTATATATAAACAAAATTAGAGGCAAAGTTCTAGATGAGCCAAAGGTGCTATGATACATCTAAATGTGAAAGGTAAAACAGTCACAGGACAGCTTTTTGATTGAGGAAGATCATTTCCATATGGGTTCTGAATCTGGATGATACACCTAAAGCAAGCTGAGAAAAAAGAGTGAATCCCAAAGAGAAAAGCTGGAGGAGCAAGTCAAGTATCAGAAGAGCTGTGAGGGACAGGACAGGAGCAGCCACCAGGAGGATGTGGCTGCAGGAGCTCTGCAGGATCCCCTCTCCTCCTGAGACCAAGGGAAAGGGAAACATAAACAAAACCTCGTTTTCAGCAAAACTCAGAGACAGACTCAAAAATATCTGCAAGGACTTCCAAGATCTCTAGTTCACACAGGAGCCAAGGAGGAAGCAGCAGAGAAAAACAAACTGTGTTTTCTTTCCTAGAAGCAGCAAATTTCAAAGAGTACCAAAGGAAGAGAGGAATATATATATACACAGGCATACTTTTGACATCTTGCCAGTTTGATTTCAGACCACAGTAAGGGAAATACCTCAATAAAGTGAATAAATGAATTTCTTTGGTTTCCCAAAAGTGCACATAAAGAAATTATGATAACACTATACTGGAGTCTATTAAGTGTGCAATAATAGCATCATGTCTAAAAAAAATGTGTATAGTGTACACCTCAAATAATACTTTACTGCTAAAATATGCTAGCCACCATCTGACCTTCGGTAAATCATGCTCTTTCGGCTGGAGGCAGACTTGCCTCCATGTTGATGGCTGCTGACTCATCAGGCTGCTGAAGGCTGGGGTGGCTGTGGCAAACTCAAGACAGCAAGAAAGACTGCTGCATCAATGGACTCTTCCTTTCCCAAGTGAGTTCTCTGTGGCCCATGATGCTAACAGCTTTTTGCCCACAACACTTCCTTCAAATTGGAATCAATCCCCTCAAACCCTGCCACAGCTTTATCAACCAAGTTTACGTAATATCCTAAATGTTTCTGTCGTCACTTCCACAAAATCCTCACAGCATCTTCACCAGCAGATTCCATCTTAAGAAACCACTTTCTTTTTGCTGATCCATAAGCAGCAGCTCCTCATCTGTTTGAGATGCAGCAACTCAGTCCCACCTTCAGGATCCACTTCTAATTCTAGTTTCCACCACATCTACCTCCTCCACTGAAGTTTGGACCCCTCCAGGTCATCCATGAGGGTTGGCATCAACTTCTTCCAAACTCCTGTTGATATTTTGATCTCTTTCCATGAATTATGAACATTCTTAATGGTATCTTCAACAGTAAATCCATTCCAGAAGGTTTTCAATTTACTTAGCACAGATCCATCAGAGGAATAACCGTCTATGGCAGCTATAGCCTAAAAAATGTATTTCTTAAATAATAATATTTGAATGTCAAAATGACTCCCATTTATGAACATTAGAATGGATGCTGTGTTAGCAGGCATGAAAATAAACATTAATCTCAGTGCACACTTCCACCACAGCTCTGGGGTGACGAGGTACATTGTCAATGTGCAGTAATCTATCTTTTTTCCAAGCAGTAGGTCTCAACAATGGACTTCAAATATTCAATAAACCATGTTGTAAGTAACTGTACTGTCATCCAGGCTTTGTTGCTCCATTTATAAAGCACAGGGAGAGAATACTGAACATAATTCTCAGGAGCCCTAGTATTCTCAGAATGGTCAATGAGCACTGGCTTCAATTTTCAAAGTCGCCAGTTACATTAGCTCTTCACAAAAGAGTCAGCCTGTCCTTTGAAGCCCTAAAGCCAGGCACTGACTTCTCTCCAGCTATGAAAGTCCTAGGTGGCACTGTCTTCCTATTGGAAGCTGTTTCATCTACACTGAAAATCTGTTTAGTGCAGCCTCCTTCATTAATTATCTGGGGTAGATCCTCCGGAAAACTTGCTACAGCTTCTCCATCAGCACACTGTACTTTCTACATCATTCACCCTGCACTTTGATGTTATGAAGACGGCTTTTCATGAACTTCATAAACCAGCTTCTGCTAGTTCCAAACTTTTCTTCCGCAGCTTCCTCACTTCCCTTGGCATTCCCAGAACTGGAGAGTCAGGGACTCCCTCTGGACTGGGAAGTGTTGTGGCTGTTTCCATTTTCTACCCAGACCACTACAACTTCCTCCATATCAGCAAATAAAGCTGTTTCGCTATCTTACATCCATGTGGTCACTGGAGCAGCACTTTTAATTTCCTTCAAAAACTTTTCCTCTGCATCACGACTTGGCTAAACTATTTGGTTCAAGAGGTCAAGCTTTCATCTTATGTCCACTTTTGACATGCCTCCCTCACCAGGCTTCATCATTTCTCGTTTTTTATTTAAGTGAGAGACATGTGACTCTTCCTTTCACTTGGACGCCATTGTGGAGTTATTAGCTGGCCTAATTTTAATAGTGTTGCACTCAGGGAATAGGGAGGCCCCAGAAGAGGGAGAGAAATGGCAGAACGGCTGGCCAATGGAGCAGTCAGAACAAACAACACTTACTGATCAAGTTTACCATCTTACACGGGCGCTATTCATTGCACCCCAAAACAATTATGACAGTAACATCAAGTATCACTGATCACAGATCATAATAACAAATATAATGGAAAAATTTGAAATACTGGGAGAATTACCAAAATGTGACAGATTCACAAGTGAGCAAGCACTGTTGAAAAAGTGGTGCAGGCTGACTTGTACAACATAGGTTGCCACAAACCTTCAATTTGTAAAATTTGCTCAACCTTTGAGTACAACAAAACAAAGTGCAGTAAAATGAGGTACACCTGTACATACGGATTCCTTGAAGATGGGGGGGACCCATGAGGAGCAAAAGCACTAACCCCTCCCTGCAAACAGAGCTCAGAAACACTAGAGGTGGGTGGCATAAGTCCTTAGCCCCAGGGGGCCTGATTTTACGGGCAGCTGCAAAGGAAGGACTATCTTCACTGCTTCCCACAACCTTGACTTTGAGGCCATTATTCTGCTAGTCACTGGGAGGCAGTTGTTATCTCTTCCAGTTTTAACTGTCATTTATCTTATCAATGAGACCTCTATGCTAGCAACAAAAGGAACCTCTACTCCCCAAACAGTTCTAACTGATGACCAGTTAAGGGCTATTACGGCTCAAATATTCCCAAACTGCCTTCTGGGACCTAAAGTATCCAGGTGAGTAAACAGAAACTAGATCACCAAGAATCCAAATTAGAGGATGCCATTCATGCAAATGTTCCCCATTTCAGTCCCAGCTCCATCTTTCCTGATTAAAGAGGTATAAAGAGGTGACTGAGTAGCAGGCTCCCTAATTCTCTGGCCTCTGTTTAGCTAATATAACAAAATGGCTTTAAAACTTCAGTTCCTCTTCGTGAGCCCCTGCTGGCCTCCACTCTGCAATCCTCACTCCCCACTGAGGACAGATGCTGGATAATGGACACCTACCTCACAACCAGTTGGGCTGAAGGCAGCCCCCATGAGCTCTAATTAGCCTAGGGCCTGGACCGTCAGGGCATAAACCAGCAAACTAACCTGCTTTGGTAGTTGAGGGAAAACAGAGCCCAGAGTCAGAAAAGACAGTGGGGAATAGCATATAAAGGGCTGACTGAGAAATGCTGCAGCCTCAAAACTCAAGCATTCGCCTGTCAGTCCAAATGATAAGTGACTCGAGCAAACCTCAGAAACCACTCCAAGCTTCTGTCATGTGCAAAGGGTGATGAAAACAGTCTTTTAAATACTACAAAAGAGTTTGCAAATCAACTGCTAAAAGAGTTATTACGTAAACAGCAATGCTGTTCCCACTACTGAGGAAAGTTTCATCCTGTATGTTCTTCGACAAACTCCGCTGAGTATTTCCACTCCCCTTAGACAGGTACTGGTTTTCTAACCTCAGGGCAAATTAATGTTTTCAGAATTTCAGAATTCAGACTACAAACACAAAACGAACAAAGATCTCCTCACAAAATGTACTTAAAATAGCCTGAGCTACAGCTTGCAATTTTATTTAGACTCCTCTGCATAGTGTCAATGGAGCGCTTTTGTGTTGTTTTGGGTTCTTTTTCTGGTGTGAAGATAAAAGGTGAAACAATAAGGTACATGAATTAAATGGAAACAGAAACTATTAAGAGGGAGAAATTTGGAGCTGTGAAATATACAGCAAAAGGCAAGCAGGAAGAGAAAGCTGAAAGACTCTTTTGAGCCCCAAGTGAAATACAGGGAAATAATGCTTCTATGAATTAAAAAAAGAAAGATGTGGGTAGCCAACCACATTCCGTATGTCACTAGTACTGATGAATTACATGAGCAGGTAGCAGGACATGTATTTCCCCTCCACAGAACATAACTCACCCCACACTAACGACCAAACTAGGGAATACCATCTATGTTACACCCAATATAATTGTTTTATTTGTGCCTTACTCTTAAATGTACCTCAAGTTGAGGCGTTTATAAAGAAAAACTAAAGTTAGGGCATTGGTAGAAAAATGTTTTTCTTGGAAAAAGTCTGAAGTTTCAGAAAAAGCACATACACATACACCTGGACCCAGAGGCCACGAGTGGGAAAAAAATCAGGCCAAGCTGGAGCTAACCAATTTACCACCAGGGACAATGCCATCAGAGGCTGGCTGTGTGGCGCCATGCTTGCAGCCCTGCTGCCCTGCATCCAACACAGTGTGCCAAGTAATGTGGGGCAGGTTCTTGAAGTCTTTATAAGGAATGAAAACATGTCTAAGACCTCAAGGAATGTGAAGGCCTGCAAGTGTGAAAGCCTACATTTTCCTGCAGAAGTTACTTGAACAGCTAAGCCAGGGTAACGGTATTACCTCAGGAGGCTACAGAAACATTCCTTTGAGTGCCTGGGCACCAATGGAATAAAGAGAGGGCAAACGGACATTTTCCTTTTTCTACCTCCTCCAGTCGCCGCCTCTGCTCTTTCTGCTGCTCGATGCGTTTCTGTCTCTCTGCGAGCAGCTGCCGTTTATACTCTTCCTGCTCCCGGAGCTGTTGCTCCTGCAGGAGCTGCTGTCTCCGCAGAGCCTCAGACCGTTCCTTGTTCTCCTGTTGCAACCTCAGGAAGTCCCGACGAAGAGTGGACTCACCAGGCACATTAACAATGGAGCTGCAGGAGGAGACCGAGTGTTCAGGGTACAGCGGGCACGCCGCCCTTCTGTGAGGGGCAGCCCGGCAGGCTGGTGCACTCCTATCCCATCCTCTCAATGAGTTCCTCCCACTCTGAGAGGCAACGAATAAATCTACAACTTAATGGTACTATTGCCTATCCTCTTTTATCTGTTTCGCATGCATCTTAAAACTCTCTCCTGGTTGTCTGCCTGACAAGACACCTCTACTTAGGACTCCCCATCAACTCTAACTCTGTAAAATGGAAAGCTGACATCACCATCTTTTACTTCCTTAATCCCTCCCTGACCACCTAGTTTCCCATCACTAAAAGCAACATCATGTTCCAGGTCTGTCAGGATAGAAATATCAGCATAATCTTCAGTTCTTACCTCTCCTTCATCTTCCTCATCTGGTCCAAGACCTGTCATGTACCCCCCTCCCGCTTCCTTCAATTCCAGGGGCAGCAGCTGAGCCCACATGGGTCCCAGGAATTAGCCACTGCACACATCAATTACACACAGCACCTTTCCTAGCTGGTCTCCCTGTTGAGCGTCCCTTTCCACTTCTAGAACATCCAGGATAAATGGCAAATCAATCTCCTTAAATGGCCTCTTTCATTTTATCATGCTCTTAACCAAAAACAATTATACTGCTGCTCATGAAATCAGTTGAAATTACTCTAAAATTTTTATTCTCAAATGGATTCAAATCTTCTATGTAAGAAGGAAAAGAAACTACAGAGTTTCTTCAACAAATTCTCTTCCCTCTCTATAGGTTCTCACAGGTCTTTCAACAAACACTTCCACCCTCAATAAGTTATGCAGAGCTGTAGCAGGAATAGCAGCTAGGCAAGACTATTATTGACAGTTTAAATTCTCAATTCCTTGATTAACTTAGTTATTACAAGATTCTCGTGTTACCATGCCTTCAACCTTCTGCTTCACTGTACATTGGGAAGCAGAGAGAACCAAATCAGAAACTCTAAAATAGATCAGGACAGAATATACCCCACAGAGAGGAAATGAAATGCTGGTAACCACACTTGTGGGAAGAGCAGAGCAATTACATTTTGGGAAAGACTGCTGTGTTTTTCAGTGGAAACCCTGGTGGGTCATGAGCAAGACAGTTCTTTGTGCGTGTGACCATCTTGCAAACCATTTACCACCCACGCCTGCTCAGGCCATTAGTGCCAGAGGCAGGCTCCCCTTCCCAGGACCAAACACACCCCATATGCCTCCAAATGACTGGGAAGGGGGAACAACACAGTCTTGGTAAAGAACTAGTGGGTAAGAGGATTCGGGGCAAGATGTTTATAGGAATCATCAAAGAACAGAGATGGATGGAAGGTAGTGAGGCACTTCCAAAGTAACTGAAACCCCATCTCCTCACAAAGCAGGACACCAAGCAGCGGCTGCCTCAGTACCTTGGCTCTCCTTCCTGCTCAGGCACTTCCTCCTCCTCTTCCTCACTCCCACTGTACTCATACTCAGTTTCATCTATAAAGAAAGACAAGATAAATACAGTTTGTGAATCATGACATGGGCATGTAAAGGCAAGCATCTCCAAGGGCATTATAGCAGAAAACAAACAATATATTCTTTGCGAGAATAAACATGTATGGGGGACTTGAAGGAAAGTGAGTGACACTCAGTTCCTACAGTGAACGCTGCAAAATCCTGGGCCAGCCTTGCTGCCCTTGCTCTCAAGGCAATTCCATCTGGGACACACTGCTGACGGGGTGCAGGGCTGTGAGAGAGGCTTTGGAGCCCTCAATGCACAAGAAAATGGGCTTAAGAGTGTCCACAAATTCAGAAAGTCCACTCTGATGCCAAAATTCAAAAGAACAAGCAAGATTTAGCTGCCCAAACTAATTAAGACAACTACACAGGTATTTGGTTATTTGTGGCACTTGGTAACAGGATGCCAGTTATCCAAATGATCTGGAAAGTTACCAAAACAGCAAGGTCAATGTGAACTAGAGGCTACAGAAAAGAAGACTTCATGGAGATGGTGATGAAGCCTGCCTGCACCTTGCTGCACACAAGGGAACAAAGGGTGCTCTAGACAGTAGACACAGAACATGAAAGGATAGGAAAAGATACTGGCAACATAAAGAAATCTAATATATCAGCAGAAGGACATGTGCAAGAAGTGTACAGTAAGAGAAAAGTTATCAGGCTGTAAGCGTGGTCCAGGCCTACCCACTCCATCTGTAGTGGAGCAAAGCAGTGAGAAGCCTCAGGGTTTCCTGAGCAGGAGAAGAACATAAGCAACACACTGAGAATGATGGTCACAGCTGATGCTTGTCAAACCCTGAGCGACGTCCAGAGAACACAACATCCGTGAGGCAGTGAAATGTGCAGCAACAATGATGTGCTCCTGAGGAACATGAGAAGCATCCCGGGGCGACCAGCCGCAGTGACTGTGTAGCTGGTGACAGTTTGGTGGCACAGCACCCCGCTCTGGTCAGCCATGCCAGGGGCCAGGCTGGACCCCAAGTCCACCGCTAGACAAGCTACTCAAGCACAAACAAACCCATCACTCAGAAAGCAGCAGCCTATTTCAGATGGCAGAAAACTAAAGGAACATTTTTAATATGAAAGTAAAAACAGATTGAATACCTTTCTCTCCTCTCTTCTTTCTAGTCCGGTCTATATGATCCTTAAGCTGGATTCTAACTTGCCTCTCGTTGGGCTGATCCCTTATAAAAGGATGTTTCAAAAGCTGCTCTGTGGAGGGCCTCTGCATGTAATTCTTCACCAGGCACCCTTCTATAAAACTAAAAAATTTCTTTGACCTGTAAAAGGAAATTAAAAAAAAAAATCATCAAACTTCTACCACAAAGAGCAAAGCTCCAAAATACCGGTTAATTTATAAGCCTGAAAATAAAGAAGAGCTTTGAAATTCACTGTGACAGTCTGCAAATGCACAGGAACAACACAGGAGCTTCAGGACCATTGTGGACCGAGCATTACACAACATGGCTTAAGAGTCACACACATCACTGACAACACTGCACAGACATAGAGCTATAAAGGAGTCAGATTTAAATAAATTATTGCTTAAGAATAATCATTCGATCATGGGGTGGAGGAGGCCGGGGTGAAGGGAAGGTCTTGCCAAAATGAAGGCAGACAGAGGATAGGTGTCTGGAACCCAGAAGACAGACACAGAGATGTGAAAAAGATAGTAAGTGGCCAAATGCTGGGGTGCTTAAACCTGATAATATGACATTTCAATCAGTTTCAGACTAGTTTACTTCCCAGTTCTCTGCACTGAATATACAGAGGTAGAAGTAATAGTTCTGAGGGGGCAATGACTCTTGTCACCAACATATGCCCTACCAGGCACTTTTATTTTTGCCTGCTTCTCCGTACCTGGCTCATGAAGACCCCCATCTCCAGCCTTGGTGGAGACTTACCTATCATAGCTTTTGACTCAGCTCAGATATTGTCCCTTTTGGTAAGCCTTTCCTGGTCTCATTCCAACCCTAACTGCCCTAAGTGAGGAACTTTTCTGCAGGGGTTGCCTGCATTTGACAGTCCTTAGCATTATGTTTCTATCTCTGTCACCCCTGCTGGTTTGAAATGGTACAGGCCAAGAGCTGGTTCCTACTTTTCAACCGGTTAGCAATGCCTAAGACTGAGCATGGCAGACCATGATAGGTATGTAATAAATTTTTGTTGAATGAATGAGTTATTTGGTCTTTAGAAATGTGACTTAGAAAATTAGTTCATTTCTTTCCAATTAGTTCACCACTTTAAGGAATCACTTCTATTATCTTGTATTTCCTTCAAACACTTGTTTTCAATTCAACAAATATTTATGTATGAACAATTTACATTTGTTTATGCTAGGCCCTATATGAAATACACATAGGAAATAAAATGGAGGAAATTTACGTAGACACAGTAGTTGTATAATCAAATGTAGAATGAAGAAAAATACTGCTGCAGTGGGTTAGACATCAAAACAAGTGGGATGTTTGACATTCCAAAGACGGGAACAGGAACAAAGGTAGAAAAGTAATGGGAAATGATGAACTGCTTTCTGATGCTAATATAGGAAGTGGAAAAGAACAGAAAGATAGGTCAGGATCAGCTCAGAGCAGGGCCCCCAAAGTCACTCAAAGCAGTTGTTACTTCATCTGTGGTCAACGAGGACATGGGAGCTTCTACACAGTAGTGGAAGGCTCTAACATTCAGATTCCCAAACCCACTGTCCACAAGGACCATTCCAGAAGCTTATTAAAAATACAAATACCTGGGTTATTCCTCAGACCCCACAAGCTGGAAACACTGGGTTTGGAACCTTAAATTAAAAGATTCTAAAGGGATTCTCATGTACTGAATATACACATTAACATTTGGGAATCGATGACCTATAACATATTGTTTTAAATCAACTATTAAGTTCTTTTGACAGAGAGTTCACGGCTACTTCTCCAAACATAGTAGAAATTTCCATCTGGTGGACAGGAAGACAGAAAATATAAGGAACAAAGGACTTTATATTTGTAATTATGGTCCTTTACAATGAGAACAATGAGATAAATAGATGAAAATGCATCTAATCAAATTTAGTTAGAAAAAGTTTGGTGTAAGAACATAGAAAGAATTTACTGTCATCTGTGCCTGTCTCTTTATATCACCATATTATACACACAGCAGTTAATCTAAAACAGTGAATAATGGGCAGAATAATAAGAGTTGGGCCAGCTGACAAGGCTTATAAATTGTGAGATACCCTAAAGATAGAGAACACAAACTCCTTTAAATGAAACCTGACAGAGAAAAGGGGAAAATGCGTATTATTTAGTTCAGCATGAGCAGCAGACCTCACTCCTTGGTGGTATCTACTATACGCATTTGGTATCCCTTGGGTTGGCCATCTACGGGTGCCCAAAGTTATTGTGTCCCAATACAGGACACCAGTTGAAGCTAAAATTTAAAACTTGTTTGCCTTAAAGAACATCTCCAAAAACTGCTAAGTGGAATTCAACAACCTGTTATCTGGAATGGAATGTGGTTAAAGACAGTATAAAAGAATGAAGACAATCCTGCCAGTAGACAAAAGGTAGGGGGGAAAGGACAGCAAGAAGCAGAGAAAAAAAAGAAAACAAGAGTGAAAACATGGGTGTGCACATGTAATCCAGAGATGGAAAACTATAGAACATCAGATGGGCACCCATGGAGAAAGAACAGACACAAATAGCCGAGAGGGCAAGTCGAGGCCGGGAGGAGGCTTCACACTGAGATTTTGTGCCTATTTCAGAATTCAAGTCAAGAACCTGAGAGGAGATGATATTAATTGGATAACTAGAGAAAAGAGCTTCAGGGTGGAAGTAAGACGACAGTGGGTATGCATTAAGGGGAGATGAGCCCAGGAAAACACAGAAGAGAGGCGACAGGTCCACGTGCAAGAGGAGCCTGATGGGGACAAGAAAAGGGACAAGTGGGGACAAGAAAAGGTTGGGGGGGTGGGGGGGAAGACTCAGAAGAAAGTTTGAGAGGGAACATTGGGCAAAATTCTCAGGCAGAAAACAAAACACTGCCCTCTCCCTTCAAGATTTTTAAATCTAAACCAAACCAGCACTTTCCCACACTGCTGCGATTCTCAAAGTTCTCGCCAGTAAAGGTCATCATCACCCACTCCACGGACACCAGTTTTTGTTTAGCAAGTGTATGAGAGCTGCAGGGAGAAAGAAAGGTGGCAGCTCAGAGGATGGTTCCTCTGATGTGTTCTTCTGGAATGGAAAGGGACACATCCACTTTGGTGTTTTGCAATAGTTACAGGAAATGCCTTCATTAATATTAAAATGCTGCTTCACCTGAGGAACTACAAGGCAGTACAGCTGTGCTTTCTCATGTGAAAATGTTCGGCAGTACATTACACTTGAGAGTGTGTTTAAATATTAAAATGGAACTTCTTTCTGTAACCATGTTACAGTTCACATGGTCACTTGTTGATGTTCTATAATTGGAAGAGAATGTATCAAGAAAAAAAATTTTTTTTAAATCAATACACTTTTCAACTGTTGTTTTGGGGCACTGGCTCTCCTGTTCTATGGGAATTAGAATGGCCAGAATTTGTCTCAGAGTCAAACTAAAATGAATTTTTTAAAAAAAATGAAAAGAAACAAGGACAACAAAGACAATACATAGCTTACCATTTTTTTGACTTCAGCCGGGGAGGAGGGTTTCTGGGGATGAGAAACAGTGCTCTCATTGGATGCATGTCACAGAGAGCTGGGGAGAGGAGACGGGTGGGTCAGCACGGCACTGATTTTACTCATTCTTGATTTCCAGGGCTTGCTCATCTTATTAAACGCTCTGTCTCATCATCTGCTTTGATAAGTTTTATGTCAAGCAGCTAGACATCTAGTTATGAACCCTAGGACATACCTTGAATTCCCATCTAAACATAGCAAAATATAAGGAGGACAAGAGCAACAAGAACATACAATTTCAAGTAGACATTGGAAAGTTCTTGTAAATCAAAGATAAACACTGACTCAGTCTTAAAAGAGTTAAAAGCTTCAGTTTCTAAACCACCTCTAAGATTACAATGAAAACAACTTGATTTTGGCAGGGTTGTTGTGAGGGTTAAATTTTGTCACTGCTTGTAAAGGCCATCACACACTGCCAGGAATACAGTGAGCAGAGTCAAGCCCCCTCAAGACATCCCCTGTTCATTGTTATAGCTAATATTACTATGAAAAGGCAGAAATGTGGGAGCAAAATGGGATTGTTTCATTCTGTGCAATTACTGTTTTGTATTCCTATCACTTGCTCAGTAAAGGCATGCTGGCTACACATGTACATCTTAATCTTACTATGTCACAAGAGGAAATATGCATTGTTCTGTGTTTATTTACCTCCATGAGAAACTTACACAAGGCAGCTAGAAAACAGGGGCCAAAGAAGAAAATCTACTCCCATTGTGAAAGAAAACTGAGACAAAAGGTCAGGCAACACTTCCTGATCTCTATTCCACAGAGTGAAACACGAGGGGACATATGTTTGAGACTGACATCCATTTCAATATTGCAAACTGATTTCCAGCTATTGGTAATTCATTTTCATTCATTCAACAAATATTTATTCAGCACCAACTACATACCAGCTGTACATTCTTTGTGTATCCCCTTTTTTGGGGGGACCAGTAGAAATGCTATTTTTACTTTTGTTCTCTGCAATTCTCTAACCTTGTCCCTGCTCAAAAATCAGTTTTATGAAGTTGCCATTGATATTAAACAAAGGAGAAGTGAAATTTCATAGGTAACACAAAAAAATTTATTATACAGATAAGAAGCAATGCCAACTTGTAAAGTCAGAGCATAAATACTACTAAAATTTTAAGTGTTAGGACCAGTTTCACTGAATATTAAGATTAAACTATAAAAGAAAAATTACTATCTATTATCTGAGGTCAGCATAATTTCAGTCACACATATGAATACAATTTCAATAAAAAAATGTAGCTTACAGACCTCTGGGATACCTCCGAAAGGAATAGCGGATGCTAAGAATTCCTTTTACATCTAAAACTTTATTAATGATTCCTTCATCTAAATGCCCCACTAGGAATGGCTTTGCCCATGAAGCTGCACTTTTTGAAGCCTACGGACTAGATTTAAGTTAATTTAACAGCTGGGCTAAATAGGAAGGAATATTACTTACGGGGAGCACCTTCTGCCATCTCAATGGCTGTAATGCCACAAGACCAAAGGTCGCTCTGCAAAAATAAGACAGTTTTGTTATGGGTACCGTATAAGATATGAAGCCACTACCCTACCATTGCTGGTTACTCATGCAAATGATATAAAGGCATTCTTTGGTATAGAAACTGAAAGGAAGTTCGCCAGGAAATTAAAAGCACAAACACGTTCTCAAGAACGCTTTCCAAATGAATGAATGATAAACTAAAGACAAAACAGATTTGTTAATCAGAACTGCTCCTTATCTATGAATGAGTTAGAGAAGGTCCATATAAAAGCTTCTAACTGGCCGCCACATGCTCTGTTCAATGTTTCGTTTCTTTATAAGCATTCCGTAATTCAGACTCCTAGCCCAAATTTATGTTTATGTTAATATCTCAAAGTTAATTAAGATGTCAAAAGATTAAAGGCTAAAAACAGTCTTTAAAAAAACAAAAAAATAAAAATAAAGGTTCACAGCTGAATTAATAAAATCTACCACAGTGCACTAATTTGAATCACACTGCTGAGTCTCTCTACTCTCTCCTGAAGTCTTATGTCAGATGAGCAGTAAGTCAAACTGACTTTCTGTGCATGGAATCTTTTCTGATTCCTCTAAAATATTCATTTAAAAATGTCAATTTCAACTTTATTCCCCAATCAAATATAAGTTCTATGAGGACAGGCATTTCTGTTTTATTCACCTTTGTGCCCCCAGAATAGTGACTTGCATATGGTAGGCACTCAAATAAACACTGGCTGATGAAGGAATCCAAACAAGACTTTTAAAATGCAGATAATGAATGGCTATTATCATTAGCATTCTTTTGTTTATATGCTATTCCAACAGAGGAATTAGATAATGTTGCTCAGTCTAAGGGTTTTCTAAAAAACCTATAATTATGTTACAGAATTCAAACACAAATGCTTGATTACAAGAATGAGGATAAGTCCATGAACTTCTCCATTATGTTTATGGAGTTTTCTATTCCATTGGGGTGCAAAGGAGGGGTTCATCATGGCAACCCTGTGACTGATCTTGGCAGCTTCAGTGGTGCAGTAAGCAGATGTTCTGTGCCCCCAGAAGAAGAAATATGAACTATACCTGTCTCCTCTGAGGAGAGAGCTTGCTAAGAACGTTTTCCTACTAATTAAGTATCTCCACTTTATAGGAAACTAAACGACATTACGAAGACGGCAAAGGTAAAATTCAGAAGTGGCAAGACAAATCTAGAAGGTGGAATACTGTCTCTTCAGCAAATCAGTGTCCTAAAAAAAAAAAGAAAAAAACTGGGGGGTGTAGAAAAAGGAGGAATAATCTCAATTAAAAGAAACCCAATGGCCAAACAATCAACTACTATGTCTTGTCCTGTGTTGAATACTGGTTTGGACAAACCAGGTGTAAACCAACTGGATCTAATTATGGATGTTGTATTAAGTTCTTTTTAATTTTCTTAGTGTTTTGGGTATATTGGAAAATGTTCCCAAATTTTGGAGATGTGTAATAACTCATTTAAGAGTGAAAAGTCACAAAGTCTGTAATCTATTTTAAAATATATCCAGCATGTTAAAAAATAAAATAAAAATCCCTCTGCACTGCAGACTTAAATTGAGTTTCACTAATAGGGTATTTATAATAAATATTAAAATACACTAAAGAGTGTTAAGATATTAACATAATTTTGAAAATCATTAAAGGTACATTAATCACTCAGATTCACTGAATTGAGGCAAGGAAAATAAAAAAACATTTTGTAAAGATTGAGCCTGAGTCTGATTATTAAATATGGGTTTTACATCAGGATCAAAAAAGTGTATTACTGACACATGTCCCTAGAGGTCACTCTAATAACCTAAATATATTTTGTCCCACAAAACTCTTTAACCATTAAGATTTCACATAGATAAAGTTATTGCTATATATTCTAGCAATATTTTTAAAAGAATAAATACCTGACTGTAATATATTCTTCTAGTTAGAAAGACCAACAAACAGGGTGTAATCACATAATTTACTCATGGCAAAAAGTTCTGTGCACAGCAAAGTGGCCCACACTGCCTTGAAAGCAGTGTGTTACTTAAGTAAGGAGGACAGAGATGATGTAAATAGACCAAAAAAAAGACAGCAATTAAATACCATCTGGAAAATCCGTACCTACAATAGGATGCCCTGTCATCCTCAGTGAAAAAGCAGGAAGAGAAAGGGGTGTGCAATGTGTAAGCAAAGCCTGCGCCCTCAGGTATGTTAGGGACACTGCAGGCCAAGCTAACTGTGCCTCTTACTCTGTAATCGTAGGTGGCATCTGGGTTCTCGTCACAGGCGATGACCTCAGGAGCCATCCAGTAGGGGGTGCCTATGAACGTATTTCTCCTCCCAACTGTCCTGTCAAGCTGAGCACTCACACCAAAATCAACTGTGGAAGAAAAAGGAAAGGAAAGTACCATTAACAAACAGGTAAAATACAAGATAAAGAAAGGGTGAAGAGGGGGTATGTTGAGAGTAAACTGAAATAGTTACACTTCAAGGACGCACAGCCTCAACACTACCTATTGTTGATGAGGAGCATCTTTCCAGAGCAAAGCCACCCAGGGGGCAAGATCCTCTATAATCTGGAAGCTCCTAAGAGGCCCAGAACCAGCCACCTCCCTGAGCTCCCAGACAGCGGCCAGCAAAGGGACATCTGGGTGAATGAGGATCTTAAGTGCTTTCAGGGAACGTATGTGCCACAAAAAGGTAAGTCACAGAAAGCCCCAAGTTCAGGAAAACTGACTGAAACCCACGTAACTTAGCTAAGAAGCAGCACTAACCACAAAAAGAGAAGAAATACACAAAGGTGTTCTGGAAAGAACACAGTACTGAACTAAATAAAGAGAATCAAGCTAAATTACAAATACCCTAAAAGACACTCCCCAAAGTACCTGGGACTGATTTTTCAGAATGACTCCTCCATCCCACTCAACTGAATTATGGTACTAGTATAGGAAAGTTCAAGGGTGAGGCTGGCAGAAAGACAACACCTCTAATGAGGTATCTGCCAATGTCATCACTGCCCCTAGCACAGCGCATGACAGTGGAGGAGCTTGTGCAGACGGGCCTACGGAGGATGGGGGTCACTCCCAGGGTTATGGACGCAACTTCTGTATGCAGCACATGCTCAGCAAACCCCTGGCTAGAAGTAGGCTGACATGCCGAACGCTCCTCAGAGACAGACACACAGGCCGGGCTGCCAGCAGAGCTCACAGCAATGGGACAGCAGTGGCAGTTCATCACCAAGCGATTGAAGGAGCCAGCATAGGCCACCACCGAGGGGCAGTGCAGGGACTCACATGGCTATAAAGGGACAGACCATTATATGAAAAGGGATAGGCAATTCCAACGGGTTAGGTCCCCAGTGTGAGCAACATTACCACTTTCTAGCTGCTCCTTGAAGACACACTTTAGATTACCATCTACAGTTTGGAAGGGATTTTCCAACTGGGCAGACTATTCTTCTAGAGACTATCAAAAAATGCAGACACTATGCAAGACAGCAACGATTTTATTTTTACAGGGTAACTACTGTGCCTAAGATTTTTGGAAGATGGATTGGATTCTTACAAGCATAAAGAAGTTTTATGTGCAGTGAAAGAAAACTTAATGCTAATTCTGTTTTAAAATTTGACAGACCATTATATGAAAGTGGGATAGGAAAAGGTCAGTCAGATCTAGGTAAGAAAAATAAAATCATCTCTAGGAAGACACCTCAGGCTCCATCCATCCATCCATGCATACATTTATTGAGCACCTACTACATTTAAGGCACTATACTAGCTGCTGCATAAGACTCTCTGGTTAAAGAAACAATTCCAATTGCTGCCCTCACAGAATTTATTTATATTCTGGTAAAGAAGTCAGAAACATAAGCGAACAAATAGCTACAGTTGTAAACTATATCAGTCTCATGAGAAAACAAGCAGTGGGACCCAGTATAGATGAGAGGGTCAGGGAAGGCCTCTGAGGATAAGAAAAGAATTGCAATTTCAAATCTGAGGTCAGCTGTTCTCAATGGGGACTAGCATGTGCAAAGGCCCTGAGGCAAGTTCCACAGGAGTTATAAAACGAGTGACTGAGGAACAAAGAAGTGAGGAGGGGATACAAAATGAGGTTGGAAAGTAGAGGCCATGGCTTTTTGTGAGCCACTCTAAGAGATGTAGATTGGATTCAAAGTGAAATAGGAGCCACTAATGGTATTTAAGAAGGAAAGCGACATGATGTGATTTAAGTTTTAGTTTGTCTACTATACTGAGACCAGAGTAGAGGGGAGAAGCACAGCGGAAGGGGGACTGTGCCAGGCTAAGCAGTAAGCCCAGTTCCCAATTTTTTAACAGAACAGAAATAGAGGACATGGGTAACAGACTAAACTTTTCACTAAATGCAAACAGGGGAGGGAATGTAGCTGGTTTGCGCCAGGGACAAGTACCATGTGTCACAGCCACAACATACCAAGCTTCACCTCCGCATTCTCTGTCAGCAATACATTCTGGCCCTTAATGTCCCGGTGAATCACATGATGGATGTGAAGATGTGCCAGTCCCTAAATAGGAGAGACATGTGACTTTAGTTCTTTGTCCCTGTAAGTAAATAGCCAGGAACACACCTTTTATAAAGACAAGTGCACATGCAGGCCAAAAGTTTTTGTGAGCCTTATTTAGAACATACAATTCAATCTTAGTGCATTTCCAGTACCACAAAGACAGAAGGAAGTACCCACCCCCAATTCCAATGGGTTAGGTCCCCAGTGTGAGCAACATTACCACTTTCCAGCTGCTCCTTGAAGACACACTTTAGATTACCATCTTCAGTTTCTCTGCTGTAATTTGTGCTATTTGTGTACAGAGTGGCTCCTTTCCCATGCTATATGTCTGCTACACATGGGTATACTTAAACTTCACACATCCCAGAGGAAAAGCAAAGAGCTAGTGTGGAGTTTAAAGTTTGGCTCTTGACTGCCTAGTTTTCCCACCACATGATAACAAATCACTATCAATCAATTCTACCTCTACCCCAAGTGTAAAACAATTTTGCCAACAAAAGAGCTTTATGTCAAAGTAAACTATCTTTCTTTCCCAAGAAAATAAACCCTACTGGTCATATAGCACTTTCTGATGACCTTGTACCTGGAATGAAGCCCAAGATCATGTCTCTCAGGTGGGAGAAGAACAAAACCGTATTTTTTATCCAAATATAGTCTGAAAGACCAAAATGCATCATTATCCCAACTCACTAATTTGTTCCTTCTTCAGCTAGAGAAGCCAAATCTATAGCCTGCCTCCTTAAGATACAAGCAACCTATTTATTCAGAAATGTCTCAATTCAAAAAGGGTAGATTAGAAGTAAGGCTTTATTTGAGCTTCGTGTTTAATTTTTTTGTGTGGGGTTTTACTATTATCATTACTTCGTAGAGTATGGGTTAAATACAACAGCTATTCTAGCAACACTCATTTTTATAACACTGGGTGTTTCTAAACAATCATTAGGAGTCTGTTTGTGAAATCAGAACAGAGCTTATTTGATGGTTCTATTTATTCTTCCACCACTCAGGATATGCAGTGTTACACCACAAAGCCCTGACTGGGGGGAGAAAAGCACTAACAATATATGGGATTGTCATGCTCTAGTTAGGAAGGAGGTCCCCTCTTTTGGTGTAACTCTGAACAGCAAAAGAAGAGACCAAAAAACTGTAGCTTCCCTAATTCTTTCATAATTCCTTTTACTTCAGCTCATTTTTTATTCTCTCACTTTCACAAACCCCCTTCTTACACTTCTACAGGTTTCTCTTAGCAACAAACATAAATACCCACATCTTCTCAAACACACGTGGCCTGCATGCACCGTTCTGCCTTACGAGGGATAAATGTAGGCAACTTCTACTTCTCAGAACTTTCCAAAGATCTTAAATAACAGCAGCCTCTGAATCTAACACCTAGGAGGGAATGAGGGCACATTTTGACACTATACAAATTAGTTCCCCCAGGTGCGTCTTTTGAGAACCCAAGTTACCTGCTTGGGAGTGGCTGCCTTCCTTTTCTTTCCTGCCCCATTTTGCTTTCTCTTTACCAAAACTGACTCAATAGCTCCTAAGATAAAAACTAGTGGATGATGCACTGACTCTCCCAGAGGCTTTCGTTTGTTTAGTTCGTTTAGACTTTGTCATCGGAAAAATTCCTATTCTAGCTGAAGTGTAGATGAAGGAAACTGTTGTTGTTTCAGGTGCCCATTGAGGTGGAAAGCATTTGCTGCATCTCAAAAAGATGTCCAATAAGCTAGTGTATTCATGTTCACCAGAGGCCTCAAACAACCAGGCTTTTTTAAATGTTGTCTGAGAGCACGTATTTATGCACCAAGGGTGAAGAGTGCTTGCCTGTGTACATAAAAACCTGTAAATTGTCTTTGATGGCTGAAATACACTGGACACCTCAGACATCTGTACTGCAACTTGGTTCTCTGCTTGAGAAACTATACTGGAATTATTCATAGGAAAGCTATGTGTAAGTGTATGTTTGTAACAGACAGTAATGAGAATTAATATTTACTGAGCACTGGTTATATACCTCCAAGTTACATTAAATCATTTGTTTTAATTCTCCTAATACCAGTACTTCCTTCATAGGGCTGGTATCTAAATTTTACAGAAGAACATAACCCCTGAAAGTTAAGTCACTTTGCCAGGGGTCTGTAACCAATGAGCAGCAGAGGCAGGCCTCAAGCCCAAGTCTGTTCCTCCCCTGTCTACCATGCTAAGAGTTTTAGTTATTAGCATAATAAACAATCTGCCCACTCACTGAACTCCCTCACAGGAAGAGTGGGGCAGGATACTTCACTCAGTTCCCCATTTATAGGCTCTGCTTCCTGTAATAACCGTAATAGAGAGGACCTTAATGTTTTAATAATGAATTGGAGTGTGATTATAAAAAGGTGGTTCTCCCACCTCACCCCTGGTAACCAGTTTTCTTAAGAGAATTGTCTATTTTCAAGGGCTTTGTAAAATATCCAAATAAAAAGAATTAAAACTTATCTCTTTGAATCCAAAATGGCATTTTTTTAAACCTGCAGTTCTCTATAAAACTAAAATATAAAAAGTGAGGTAAATTTACCAATAAAAAATAAAAACATTGCTTATTATTGAGAGAAGCATTAAGAATTACATTCTGTCAGCAGTATATTTTAACCCCATATTCTTTATTTTTAAAATGCAATCCACTGCAGATGAAATCCAGTCAATTCAGGTGTGAAAGTTAGGGGTGAGGTAGAGGGAAACACCGTAATAGCTGGTCAATGGAAAGAGGCCCACTGGGCCATTCACATGCATGTTTCGGATATGAAGCATTAAAAACACTCTGCTCTGTCAGGATGGCTCTGCTACTGAAAGGAATCATTTAGCAGCTGTGCCAACAGAGGTTCAGAAACTCACTCTAAAATCATAAGCCAGCTTTCCAACTGGCTTGTAAATAACATCAAACACTAAAAGTTTTCCTCATAAAAATTGCAACAGATTCTAACAGTGAATGCCCAAGTCCTCAGGATGATTCTGAAAACCAGCATTCAACATCATTAATGTTGATTTCTAAGTTTAGAGACAGGATTTCTAAAAGGAACAGCTAGAGACTATTTCCCTTCCCCTTCTCTGATTTTCTTTTTGGCACCTGTAAGATAAATTCGGGGAAATACAGAAGAACAGTTTTTTGTTTAAGTCTACTTTCTTTAGATACCTGCCAGGGTCAAAACCATGACAGAGCTTAAACTGTCAAGCCAGCTAGATATACAGATCCCTTGGCTGCCTGGCTGCCGCGAAATGAATAATCTGTAGGATTATCTAATGCAAAGAACTACTTCGGGCTGGGAAAGTGAAAATGGAAAGACAAGACCACCCTGGGGGTGCCCCAGCCACACCCCCTCCTTACCCTCAGGATCTCTCTGGAGATGTAAGCTATCCAGTCTTCTTTGAGTGTGTTCCCTTTGGTGTTCTTCACAAGGTCCGTGATGGACCCAGCCCCACAGAACTCCATGACAAGCTACAGGGCAGATAAGATACATGTGACTGACACAGCCCAGCAGTCAGAGGGAGCATCACAGAATTCCGGACACGCCCGAGGGAGTTGGGAAAGCACAGTCTAACCTTCTCTGCCTTCCCTAGGTGCCTGGGCACATGATCATTCTGGAGGTATCCAAACTGTTGAGAGCTCGTTTCACCATCCAATTTGTTCACTGAGTGGATGTGGTCCACAAACGGAGCGTTCTGAAGCTCTGTACCTCCTCTCATGAGCTCACGGGCACAGGAGGATCATTTTGTTTTTAATCAATGCTAACAATCAGAAATTTGATGTAAACACTCTTGGACATTTCTTCTCAGAGTCAAAGATGTTCTACTGTTCACACATTATGATTCTCCAACTATTTTATATTAACTGGGGTTGGGGCAAGAGAGAAATGCTATGTTTAAGCAGCACATAATTTTTGAAAACACATGATTTACAATACCTAAGTGTTTGAATAGTATGAACACAAATATATTTTTAAAGAACCTAAAAAATGAACTGAATTGAACTATTCTAAAATCTTAACTTTGATTGGGTTTGGGCAACAGAAACAAAGCTAAGTGTTTCCCTTTTGCCTTCTCAATTTTGCCGATTTTCTATAATGGTTTTTAAGAAAATTAGAGAAAGTATTATTAATCTTCCTTCCTGCTTTAACAAATCCAGTACCTCTGGCATAATTAATGTGATAATCAGATTTGACAGCACCTTACAGTGTTGTCATCTTGAATATATAAATGTGTGCAATAAGAGATATGGTTGAATATGTCAGTCTAGAAATTTCACTGGAATTTATTGTTTTTAACTATCATTAACATTATTAATTAATCACATATAACATAGGTTTGTGTTTTTGCAGTTTGTCTCTCACTTTCAGGTGTAAAGAAAGGTGCATTTAATTGTGCTTCCGTATTAATTAATTTCCATAAATAAAGTTTTTATTGCATTGGTTTTATTTTCAAGCCCCTAATTTCCTTGCTATTTACATTCCTTTTCACAGGTGCCATTTTATTCCTGAAAAACAAAGTTAACCCTTTTCCATGCAATATAAAAATCATCAAAATCAACATTCAGCATACTTTTGACAAAGGAACCCAAGGAAGATTCTGATGCCCTCTTAATAGAACCAAGGAGAAAACCCCACAAATGCTCAGAAATTTGCCTACCCAGAGCTGGTCATCATGTCCTGGAGGGCTCTTTTTAATGAAAGCACCATAATATGTTGCAATATTTCTATGATGAGAATATTTCTTCAGCATATTTATCTCCAGTTTGATTTCTTCCTCTTCGTCCTTAAGAAAAAAAATAAAAATAAAATGTGTGGCTTTTGAATGATGTGCATGATTTATTTTCCACATACACAGGCAATAATAAAAGTTCCCAGCCCTTCCAACAAAAGAGAGATACATTCACTTTATCTTCATGCCAAGAATTCAAGACTTCAAGAGAACTCATCCTTTGAAATGTGATTATTTGTAAGAAGTACATGAAGTATAAAGGTAAAGATGAATACAGAAAGCAGCATGCAGGAAGGGGGGCATTTCAGTCCTGCACTTTCACTATGTGACCTTAAGCAATTGACTGCACCTCTCAATTTGCTCATCTGTAAAAATGGCAGGAGAAAAAGAAATGGATTCATACTCTTTCAATTAATTACTAAGAAAGATAGATTCTTTTCTAGAATACATTTGTGGGTACAAATCATCCGGCACACATAAGGCGGGAAGGGTCACACCACCCACCACACACAACAGTTGCACTGGTCTATGGTGAGGCCCCAGCAGATCACTGAACAAAGATCAGCACTGCAGGCCTAGGGTGGACGGGGACTCAGTGAGAACCGCTACACCGCGCCCCTCTTCCAGTACCAAAACGTCACTGTGACAATGGTGTTTTAGCCTTGGCTCTCCCCCGAGATTTGTGCTTTATGAAAATAAAATGAGCAGAGGAAGAAACGCAGAGTTCATGTGAGAAGAGAGAGGAATGAAGGAAACAGATGGTGACACATATTGCCCCTTGTGAATGCTGAGGGTGCCTGGGTGTGCCTTTCTAGCTCATGCACACCCAGGGCAGAAATGGCATCAGCAGGGCATTCTGTCCCTTGTTGTGTACACATGACACAGGGAGGGTTCTGCCAACCACCTGCAAAGAGTTTGGCTAAGGAACCTTGACTGGTAGCATGAGAATAAGGAGAAAGCAGGATTAAATGGGAAAGAAGAGAGAACATGCAGGAAAGAGAAGGCCAGTCAGCCCTGGTTAGAGAAGCAGGGTGCAAAGGAAAATAAAGATCTTTCATAAAAACCTGATCATATGAATTCTCTAGAATTCCCTTTACCACATACATTTTAAAAAGGAAATGACAGCCTACAATTTCCTTCCTTTTCTACCCTGGCACACGCATTCCACTTACAAGTGATGTTCTTCCTTCTCCTGGACTTAAGTCTCAGGATTACTAAACCGTCAAGGTGCATGTGTGTTTACATGTAGGAGAAAAACAGACAGTGCACGTGAAAGCATGCACATGCACACGTGCACCCAGACACAGACACACACACACACAAAACCTCCTGTTACAGCCCAGCGTCTCCAAAAACATTTATAAGGCTCCACAGACCTTACAGCAAGTTTTGCTTGCAAATATTGTTCTTTAAGATAAAAACTGCAACATCATTAGTTAGGTATTAATGATGAGACCAAATGGAAAGAAAAGATGTCTTTTTAATGTATAACTGCTTTAGAAACCAAATATAGAAAAAACATGTAGTCTCAAGTGATTCTCAAGATGGTAGATTTCAGCGTGGTCCCCAAAACATGTACTAGACTCTTCCAGCATATATATAATGAGCATAGCTGTCATGTGACTTTGGCAAATGATTGACTGCAAATACAGAGCAGAGCTACATGGCCAAGTACAGTGTATATAGCAGTCACTAATAATTCTCATTCAAATCCTATATATATGAAAATCACAGCAAATGCATATCATTTAGATCTGTGATTTAAACATGGCCGTGTTTGAAGTACATGAAAAAGATACTGACTAACCAGAATAACAATCTTAATTCTAAACAAAACCAGTGTATAGCCCAGCTAGTATTACAGAATAACACACTTGTTTGGAATCCTTCTTCAATGAAAATTTATACTAAAACTTAAATAAAAGGGTGACAATTTTTATTAATATAAGGCACAAAGAAGTATGCCCCAAACAGAAGTAGGAAGTCCAACTCAATAGCTTATTTATGCTCTTTCCACATGCTTACACTGATACACATTGTGCGTAGTGACCACAACTCACTGGCACAGGACACATAAAGCCTGCCCCTCCTGAGACACCCGAACTCACAACTGGCTGCCAACACTATCTGTGGGTTCCTGAGCAGCCAGGACAACCCTGATGAGGTTTATCAGGACTGATAGGAGCCCAACACAATGAGCACATGACTATGGCCATAAACCAGCTCCTGCTGGATAGGCACGTGGTGTTGTCCCTGGGACAAGGCCCACAGGTAAACATGTTGGGCCCTGAGAAGTCAAACATCCCACTTTCCTGACAGGTGATCAGTAAATGAACTGATTGCTCTTTCCCTTTTATCCAAAATCAGTAAACCTACAAGGGGATCTGAGATAAAGACTACACATAAAAAAATAACAATGCTGAACTACAGTAGGGGAAAATCAAAATATGGTTTGATTTAGGTTTTGTGCAAAGAGCAGCCAAGTACTTCATGCAGCCTGTGTGTCTCACTGGGTTGCACAGGCTTTGTTTCACTGATTTATCCCTGACCCCTACCCCCTCCCTCCACTGCCTATACTGGCTAAACAACCCCCAGGGTCTTTATTCCCTTTGATGCTCTGCCAATTGGTTTCACCTCTTGACAGAAAACAAATGCTACCTACATACAATTCTCCCAGGAAAATCTTCCTGAGCAATAATTAAAGATCATGATCTGTTTTCACTAGTTTCAATATTTTTTTTCTTTTAATGACACAAACAGTATCTTCTAGGATCCAACTTGCTCACCAGTCTGTGATAATCAAAAGCTTTCATAGACACTTGATATTTTCAGAGACCACTGAGTTAAAATTCATATACATTTTAAATTGAAAATTCTCAAAGGCTTAAATTTAGTACTTTCCACCGTTGTGAAAAACACTTAATATGCATATTGGTGAACACTGTTGGCAGATGACCACAGCACAATGTGTCACCCTGAATCTAAGATGCCACTACATAAACATCATTTTATGAAATAAAATCATCATTTACTGTCAACCGTAGACTCACACTGCGGCATCTTTGAAATTGGGCTACATATTAGAATCATGAAATATGACATAAGAACAGCTTAAATACAACAAGGCTGGCAACAGCTTTTCTAGTATGGCTGAAACAGCCAAAGTACAGTCATTGGCTCAGTGTCACTTAACAGAAGATTTCCAAATCCTTAAGTAGTCAAATCCTGAAACCAAACTACAAAAAATTTTGCTAGGAAAGTATACTGTCCTCTCAATTTACTGTTATTGAATAAAGTTTTTATGTACTTTGATATTCCTTCTGTTGCTTCTATGATTTTAAAGTAGATGGCTACTACATATCTTATAAAATAAGAAGGCATTTAACACCACTAATTGTCATTTACTAATTAAAAGTGCCCACTTTGGAGGAAAATCAGAAATGCAGAATCTGCCAACAGCTTTGAGATGATTATAGCTGGAATTCTAATTATGACTGAAGCTTATAATACAGTGTTTTATGTTGTCTTTAGAGTAATAATGGACCAACTTCTAAGTTGAAATCTCCTTTAGTTATTAGTGAGAAACAAGTTTGGTGGTCTCATTACGTTTAAATATATAGGCACACCACCACCACCACAAACAAACGCCTCATTTAGACTGAGAAGATAACCACAGGGAAGAGACGCAGGGCAGGCTAGAACTGAGATGTTAGAACAACAAATCCCACATATACAAAGAGAAGTAAAATTGGCAAAATTATATGACGGTTTATATATCCCATGTGTCTAAGCTGAGTCCAAACAACTTTGCCCTTCATTCTACTCTTTAGGAGACCACAAACATATACAAATGAAAAAAAAAAAATCAGGGTCACTTGAGAGAGGAGAGAGGAGAGGGGAGGTGTTGGTTAGGAAGGAAGGCCCCCTCCTGGTTTTCTCCAATGATGATGAGGCAGCTGCTAGCCTCCACTTAGTGATTTAATGCAGCTGATGCCAATTAGCATTTTGGACTCCAACCAGTGGAAGCAATCTCTCTTAGAAAAGGTCTTTGTCTGGGGCTGGGATGTGACTAGGACTTTTCTGTTGCCTTCCTTGGCTGCTAGAGAATGGGGGAGGGGAGAACATCTGAATAGTGGCAATTTTTTCAAAAGCAGCTATGGGTTTGTAAATTGGTCCTATGACAAGCCCTGCCCACGCCACCATCAGAGCACACAAAAGTGGGTATTATTAGTGAGGGTTTTTTCCCCTTTAACGGCTCCTTAAAATGTTGTTTAAACTCTTGTTACCAAAATTCTCTCTCCCTCCACTGATGGCAGCAACTATGTGAGGACAAGCCGACTTTAGATAAGCAAACTAGGTGGATCCGAGGGGACTGAGAAATGTTCTGAGCTAATCGGCTCTCCTCCCAGCATACCCTCCTCATGGAATCAAGTCTAGTCACCAACAGTTAACAAACAAGGAAGAACAATTCATTATTCACTTTATCTTTCCAAGTTCGGGAGAGGACTAAAAAAATGAAATATGCAAGTATCTGGCAGATTTCACCACCAAAATGTATAAATGAATATATACTTAGAATGAAAATACCTATTTTTTAAAAAGTTTACTGTGAACTAGTAGAAAAATTAGAACAGATCACCTTTTACCTGGCAAATCCCAGTTACACCTGACAGCACTATTTAGTACCTGTCCTGCCTGAAGGGTTCAGCCCGCCAGCAAGTTCACTATGGATCAGTGAGACTGAGAAATGACAACAGAACATTCTTGGGGTAAAAGGGTTTATACCCAGTTTTATTCTCAGGACAGTAGGTTGGGCACTAGAATCACATCTGCATTCAGCAGTCTGCAGGTCCATAATCCACCTCCATCTCTGCCTCTGCCCAGAGCACTGGGCAGACCTCTTTATATAGTGACTCGGTCAACAGCTAATTGCCTAGAGTGTGGAAGCAGTAGCCTAGCAGTAGGCCAATTACATCATTGAGTAGTTTAGGATCAGGTGAGGATCCTGGCCAGAGGAATTTCCATTTTTCCACAGTGCCATACCAACCTGAATT